TTACGAGCTGCTTGTTCATAATTCAAGCTGCATTTGAAGCCACCCACTCGAGTCCTGTGTCTTGCTTATGGGGCTACAGAGGGGAGAGAGGACAAAGTAGAGGCAGTCAAGGGGGAACCTGTCCATATCCAGGAGGGAGGCTGCCAAGTAGGAATTCACATTCATTTGGAGGCAGGCATACGATTTTCATATCTTCCAGGAAGCTCAGCAGCACTAAAGAGTAAATGCTTGCAACACAGGGGCATTGATTATGGCCAGCTGTTAATTCTTTTTGTTTGTTCACTTGCTGACAAGCTGGTTTTGACTATTTTAGATGACGGAAGCAGAGGAGAATCATCTTTGATAAGGCCAGGATTCCTTCACTGTATTATGCTCAAATAACCATTTTTTACAACACTGCTGCAATTTGGGGTGGGGGTGGATGTTAAGGTATTATAGAAACCAGGGAGAAGGGGAATTCAGTCACAAATAAAAAAATGCCTCCTCCAACAAAACTTCCATAAGAAATAATAATTCTACCCCTTAAATTTTTAACATCCCAGACAAGCATTGCATCTTAAATCAGCTGAATATATAATAAAATTAGCTCTCCAGGAAAGCTAATAAAACAATGGTCAACAGATAATGTGGAATTAGAGAATAAGGACAATGCAAATACCTAAGAAATAAGCAACATCATGTTGAAAACTAATGGAAATTTGCTCCGTTGCTGTGCTCATTTAGCACACAGGAGGAAAAAAAAACACAACTAAGCACAGTCATTAAGAAAAAACAACTGAAAAATACTTCAGTAAATTAAGACATGTAAGTAAATTAGTATTTTTTTATTCCACAGTAATTAAATAATGTGTTTTAATGTTACACCTTGTCAGATCATCATCAGTATTAAGGCAATTATGAATTATAACTAAATTGAAATCATTACAAAAAATATATATCCATTAAAACAACTCATTCACTGATCATAACTGACATTTAAATTGGAAGAGGGATTCATTCTGCAGTAAACCAAAAATATTGTCATGCATTTCTCAGGATGAATTAAAAAAACCCACGGGGTTTTATTGCAAAAAAATAAAACCATGTCAGAAATCTAAGATCTGAGAAGTTAAGCTAAATATACCTCCCATAAAGCAACTATCTCCCAAATTTTTTGAACTGTTAGAAAAACCCCAGTAAAATCTCTTAGCTTCTGGAGCCTAGTTTTCAACTCTAGAGAAAGGAGCAGGAAAAGTAAAAAGAGCCTGTCCACTTCCAGCTACAGCAGAGATGCCAGAGACAAAATCACAAAGTCAGCACAGCATGATGGGCATTTTTACCCCAAGACAGGAAGAAAATTAACTAGGATCCTGCAGATGCTTTGGCGGAGGTCTCTGGATGGGACCTAGAAAGGGAACATCTGAGCCACATCTGGATATAACAGTTCCAGGAATTTTCACTTTTAAGAATCAGAAAAACCATGCATTTCAGAAAAAAAAGAGAAAGGACATCACGTGATGGTGCATTCAAAATTTTCCCAATTTATAATAAAGATACTGCTTTGTGTCACTAAATCTTGCGCCAGAGCAAGTCTAATAGAACGCAAGACGCACAAATCCTATCACGAGACCTCTGCCTGAAAACTTTACTGCAGAGTATTTTCTTAAGGTGTGTCAAATAACAAAGCTATAAAGAAAAAAGGATCATTTTTCCCCAACACAATGTTTCTGAAGCTGCAGTGAATTTTTAAGTTTCATTTCTTCCAAATTATCTTCTTCCAAGTCTTAAACAAAACATATATATGTATAAGGCTGAATGTCACACACCACACGGTCTTCCTCAGAATTCAAAATCAGCTGGTAGCCTTCACTTCTCATACCTCCTTACTAAAAAAGCACTAGGGAATTGCTGACAGGGTTCAGCATTGTGCAGAATATTAAATATCTTTTTTGCAATACCCTGGTGACTCTTGAGTCTGTCTCTTACAGCACCATATGTACAGCTGTGTTGGAAAGAGGAAGCTATTAAATATATTAAAAAGTAGAAATATTACCAATAGACACTTCATCAAATAACTGGATCTCATTCATCCCCAAACAAAGCAAGAAATGTTAAGGTTACATCAACATGAGAAAATAACTCTGGATTTAATAACACCACAAGCCTGTTGAACATATTTGAAAGTAAAAACATTGCTTAATAAAACAGATTAGTGTTTCTGAAACAATGAATATAGCTTTCAACCCTCAGAATGCTTCGGTAATAAATATATTGGACTTGGTCTTGAAAGGCACTTGGTATCTCAGTTCCCACACCACAGCCACAGCTAGAAGGTCTTTGGGTCCAAATATATTACTCTTAGTTCACTGCCAACACAGGACCAGGAATATTTTGTATCAAAAGGGATTTAATAAAAGGAGACTAAGAAAGAGTGTTTTGTTTGAGATCACATTTGCAAATACATCCCTGAAAGTCTGACCTCCTTACATACACACACACAAATACTGCATCCACATCTCCAGCTTAAAGGAAACAGCAGTGACACACACAGTCCACAAGGCCATACATGAAGACAACAACAGCTTTTCAAAAACAAACACTTAAAGACTCTGAATTATTTTTTTCAAAAGTGAGTTTCAGAAAGGTAATTTTCTAGATGTCTCAGCACCTAAAGGCATTGACAGGAAAACTGGACTTTCGGTGGCTCCTATCACGTAAGAATTTAAATCAGATTTAAGTATGTACTGCCAAAAATCCCACTAACCCCCTATCTGCACTTTTACAAGTTTGTCTCCAGAAGCCTATCAACTATCAACTTTTAATGAGATTTGCAATCTTAAATGCTGAAGTAACTTCTGAAAACAGGCTGTCGGTACAAATTCCCCCCCAGGCCCCCATCTTCTGCAGCACAGCACAGTCTTCTCGGGGAGCCCTGGTGCTTCCAGCAGTGGTCTGGGGAAGCACTGCTGCATGTTCACATACCATGAGTTCCTCTCTCACACTGCTCAGAAAGAAATGGAAAAGAACACTTACAAAGCCCTGCTAAGCACAACTTCATCTAAAAAATACCAAAGAGATATGAATGTTTGTTTAACTATCTCGAGGATGACGTAAATTACCACTTAGAAATTTTTGCAATAATTTTGTAAGACTCCAATACCAAAAAGTGATGCTAAAGAGTATGGTTCCTCAAAGGGGAAAGTGGTTTTGTTACTCACAGTAACACATGAATAATTTACGTATTTCTATTTACAAAGTTTTTACAGTTAGTAACATTTCTACTTGAGGCATTCACCTTTTTTTTTCTGTAAAGCAGGTAGGTGTTTAAACTAAAGCAGCTGCCCACAACTTGAAAGACAACTACAACCGTTGATTGAAGAATATTAAAGATCCATGTCTAAAGAGCACTGAAATTCTTTGAATCAAGTGTAAATAGAAATTAAGGCCCTGAGGCTACAGACATTACCATGTATTGCAACAAGTTAACTGGTTTGCCCTTAAAAAGATAAGCAATTAAGAAGTATAATTCCTCAGACCACAAACCCACAAGAGATTCTGCACAAACACGTTCTTTCCTATTACACGGTTAATGAACTTAGTTTCGCTAAAAGTTTAGTTTACAAAAAAACCCCACCAGGGAATAGAGAGCTTTGACTTGTCTTTGGTGCTCCTTCAACCTCAGCCACTGCAAGTAAGCAGGACCAGGTTTGAGATTATTTCTGTAGAAAGATGTCTTATCAACTAGACCTGGCTGGTGTTGCCGTACCGATTTCCACCTCCAACTGCCCGCTCCAACTCTGCTGGAGGCTGACTCCTCCCTAGCACCATCCGAGACAGACAAATGTCACTTTGATGCAAACTCCAACATCCTACCATAGACCCACCATCACCAAGAGAATCAATACCAGACTAGAACAGCTGAGATCTGGGCACAGGAGCCTTTTTACTGAGGAGACACCGGAGGACAAACAGCATCTGGCACAGGAACTTGTTCACCACTGCAGGAAGATCTGTCAGTGCTCATATGTTACTGCCTACACAGAGCTAGCCTAGAGGTCTCCATGCTGTTCTGGGACTGCCTCAGTGGGATGAGCACAATTACCCAAACACGAATCACACAGGCACGCCTGCAGTCTGCTTTACACCTACAGTCCATTCCCATAGGTTTGGAGGAGAAATTAGGCTGGTACCAGACATCTTTGTGCAACCATGTCTTCACTATATTATAACAATTTTACTAATTTAGTTGGTAAAACCCAGAGAGTCAGATACATTCACAGCTCAGCCTAATAAACTGCTGTGATGTTTACAGTTTGGGTCATTTTCGTTTGGGTTTTTTTGTTTGTTTTTGCATTCCAATGCTACAATCTCCTGGCAAATGGATTATTTTATTTGACAGAAGCATCTGTAGCTACTACCACAACAGAAACTTCTCTTCAATCTTCCCTGTTTGAGGCCTGCTGTACAGAGCAGCCTGCAGGACTGCGGCCTAAGACCAATCAAGATCAGAAAAGCACTGTGCTGCCATGGTAAGCTCTCCTTAAGTCACAGTCCATTGACTACCAAAACATAAATATAAAATGTTTAAAGACACTTTGCTGCAGCAATTGAAGGAAAACATTTTTAAAGAGAACAGCACCAGGCTTCAAGGGAGACTGAGTATCCATACGTGGTCCAAACCGAGCTAGGAGTTGAATGGGCACAACGAAGAAAGATCTTTAGAGAAAATGACTGTAATGAGTTCATGTTGCACACAAGGATTTGTCAGAAAATGTTAGTGTTATTGGCAGTCCTCCCCTGTGCTAGGGGACCATTGTGATTACTGTAAACTTCCTTCTGGAATAGGTCAGGCTGCAATGACAAAGCTGTATACGTTAGGGGCTTAGAACAGGCCACAGGAGACAAAAATATACTCATTTAATTTAAAATACATTGATAACAAGCCTGCTATTCCCCCCCCCACCAAGCACCAGTGTACCAAGAATACACATTTTAATTAAAAAAAACCAACCATCACTTACTCTGTTTTCCTCCTTTGCTTGTCTTCAAACATATCATTCAGACTTATGGCCACCTGCCCCAGGAACTTGTCCAGCCCCACCAGCGACCTGTGCATGACGATCAGGTACAGGACGTATTTTTCTGGATTCTCCTGCATGAGTAACCCGGGGAGCTCGAAGGAGGCCTCTTCCTTCCAGACGGGCTCCAGGGTCTTCTCGGCCACCGAGGTGGAATACTTCTCCTTGCCCAGCTGGATGATGGTGAAGGCGTCGTTGCTGCCGTTTTTACCTTTCGGCCTCAGACCCCTGGCTTGCAGGACCGTCACCTGCACGTGAGTTGGGAACCACTTCTGGGCTTGCTCCGCCAGCATCATCTCGGAGGATTTGGGCAGCGCCGACAAAACCCGCTGTCCCGAGTCACTGCCGGGGGGCTCCGGCGGCGGGGACACCTGCCAGGGGCTCAGCCCGCCCCTTCCCCAG